CCCGCCTTGGTGGCCGCCCGTGGTCCTTCGCTGCCAAACGCCTTCCCCGGCCCGGAGCGGGGACTTGACTTCTTCGCGAATAGTTAAATGAGGTGATTTTTTTGCCTGGTTGAACTTCCGTAGTTTAGTGGGAAGTTTTCTTTTTAATGAGAGTCTTGCAGATTTCTGTAGGAACCACATTTCTGATGTCTGTTACACATTGGTGCAATGTGTAATAATACAGGTATCGCCTTTAATTTTGGAAATAGTTAATGTTTTAGAATTTGTGCCTTCTTTTTTTCCACAGCTAATTGGATCTCATGTGGGTTTCTGCCTGCTGTGAATATATGTTTTTCTCTATTCTTTGTGATACCGAGCTAAAAAAAAGGAGAGATGTGGTGTCTTACCGGAGAAATAAAGTCAGTGCAACAGAAGGCAGAAGTTCTCCTTAATAGTTACTCTGTAAGAATGAAGATATAAAATTAAGGTTTACGTAATATAGCTGATAATGGTAATAAACTCATAATGGTAAGCTTTTAATCAATTCAATCAGTTATCTAATACAAATATTTTTGTGCTGAAGTACTGCAGTAGGGAGATAACTTTAACTGTTCAAGTGTATCTAGTGAGTACAGCACTAGAGAGAGTCACATAAAATTTCAGACATCAGAATCGGCCTCTTAAGTGATAAACTGTCATATAATTGGGGGAAAAGGAATGCATGTTTGTTAAAAAGTGATTCAGAGACTTGTGTATTTGTACTGTTGCCTCTTGATAATTTTTAAAGAAGCTAATTGATGCTTATCAAATGATACTTTGAAGATATTTTTAGACTGTGTAGTTTGGGTCTGTTTCCTGCTAAAGCCTGTATTATGATTTGAACCCAAAATTGTGCCAGTGTGAACATCCATGTTCCAAGAATGGGAACGTGAACAGTGCTGGATGGGTACTGGATTATATTTGAATCATAACTAGTTCAAGTGCTCCCCCAGAAGTTTCTGATAGTGCACTTCTGTCATTTGAAAAGTGAAAGTGAGTTTGCTAACTGTCCCTAAACTGTAATTTGCTTTGTGTTTGTTGTTTTTTTTTTCATTGCTAATAAAGGCAAACCTGCTCTTTAACTTAAAAAAAGCCATCAGTTACAACTTCTGTTATCCTTCAGTAACCTTTTTCTGCCTTGCTTTTGCATTTTACCTGAAGAGATGCTTCAGGCCTATAAATGTGAATGCCAAAATCTAGTATTTTTATGGGCTTTGGTTTTATTTTTAACAGTAGTAGACTTAATGTGGGTGGGTGTATCTTCATAATGTGCTGTTCTGCTGGTTTATTAAGATAATTTAATCAGAATTACTACGTCTGAATGATTTTCAATGATCTGAACTTGCAAAGAGAACATTGTCTATTCATGCTGCTTTCTGACAATTAATCTAGCCTTAAAAATGAAACTTAGATGAGCTATGGATGAGTCTAATAAGAAATGTGAATCTTCCCACTGGAAAAAACACTTTTGTCCTGTTGTTACCCATTCCTGCTATGCTGCAGTCAACAAACAGGAAGGAGTTTTGGTTACTTCCCACAAGAATACCAGTTAAAAGCATAAAGGTACTGAAATTTACCCAGAATCCAAAGAAGTGTTAAAGCTTATTTTCAGAAAGACTAAAAGGAAGGTACATATCATTAATAGTTAAGTAGTTATTAGCATTTTTATTAGAATTGAAACCTATCCCTAATGTCTTACAGATATGCTCCAGGGGGGGAAAAACCCCAGCTTATCTCAAATGTTTAATTATTAAAATAGCATGTCTTGATTAGTATTCCTTTTGGGTTTTATTTTTACAGTGAATAAAAGTGTTGTTTTCCGGTAACTATGGAACAAAGTTACAGCTATTCTAGTTTTATAGACCTAAACTCTAATATTTGTATACTTGCCTGTGCTGCAGTTATGGAATTTCTAAAACTCTTAATTGTTTTGCTTTAGCAGGTGACTGGTGGAAGGGAGAGACCTGTTCTTGACAATGTCAAGAAGAAAGTTGGAGAATAAAAGCCTTTCTGGCTTGTTAGACACACCTCTGCACACAGCAATCAAGACAGAGAATTTCCACAATTTTTATACTCTTGAATCAAAACAGCTAGGAAGGTAAGATTGTTCCTGTGTATTTTATTTTAGCAGGAGAAATTTCTGCTGCAGGAGAATTCTTTGTACAGTGATAGAATTTTTCTGGCAAACTTTTATAGTAGTAGATGGAGAATGAAGTATCCTTCCCAGTCCTCTTCTTTGCAGCATCCAGTGGGTTCTCTGGGGACCAGGAAAAAAGGTACAGTGAGACATAAGTTGCCAACCTTTTCCACATCAGAGAGATGTTTTCATAGGCATGTAGATTTGGGATTATCTTCCTTTTCTTGCGTTTTCCCTGTCTAGTCACACATCAGATTTCAGGTACATGGACTGAAGAGGAGATGACGTAGAATGACATAGACAAAGAATGGGGATTTTGAGTTGGTTGATCCAGTTGTTTGGATGAATTTTCTGAAGTCCATAAAACCTTTTCTCTCCCCACCCTCAAGCAATTTCGAGCAACCTGCTGTTTCAGAGTAGTTTTGCAGCCTTCTTCCCTTGCTCATGTTTGCAGCAGTAAAATAGGAAATAACAAAAAACCCCAAGTTCTTGGTATTTGTGATCCTGTTTCAGACATACGAGTGAATGTGTTTTTCGAAATCGCTGTGTTAGTTCACACCTTGAAAATATTCGGTGAATTGGGCATAAAGCTGTGCAAACATAATGCCATGGTCGTGCGTCCACGCTCCTTGGAACAGAAGTGACAAGGGTCAGTCTCACAGTTGTGCCTTGCTGGGCTACAAAGCAACCCTTTGCACCTGCAGCTTGTTTTATCAGCAGAGATGTTCTTCTGTATGTGTTTTTGTAAGCTCTTTGGCCTTCATTGTTCTCTTGGGTTCTTTCTGTTTTTCTAGCATGTGCTTTATCTGGTAGACTTTAGCAGAAGTGCACATTGCAGCCCATAACTTTCCTCTTTTCTTAACTGTTGTCAGCTCCGCTTTTGAAATCTGGGCTCTGCAGAAGCAGTTGATATGCGCCATCCTCTAGAACTCCAGTGTTGTTAAAAGGCTGGATTTTGTTGTAGGTACTTGTGAGATGACATCTAAAACAAACAAAACTATGGATTTTTCTGTGGATTCCAGAACACTGGATTCTTTAACACTTTGTTACATGCAAAACCAGGCATAACAAAACAAGTGCCAAAATGCAGAGAAAACAGAAGCAGAGTACTATGTTTTCCAAACATACTTTTGATTTTTCCTAGCCTGTGTGTATATTTTTTTAATGTTTTCAGTGTATAAATGCTTCGTAAGTGATGTAAAATCCATCTTTCTTTGTAGCCTATCTAAAAGATTCAATATGCTTTTTTTTTCACTTGCAATTTTCTTCTTCCTCTTCAGATTATGTAGTAAATAGTTCTTTTGTTCTCTGCTTAAGCTTCCCAAGTCCCATTTCTTCCTCCCACACCCTTATCTGCTAGGTCCTTTGGTATTTAAGACACTGACTCACGAAGCTGGCAGGTTGGGTTCTCTTTAGTGGGTTTAGTAGTTTTGTCCCTGGTGTGTGCATGGCTTGGCTTCTTCTGAAGCTGTTAGATTTCTGTGGTTTATAACTTGAGATATGAAAACATCTTGAAATCAGTTTTTCTTGTAAAACTGGGCTGTGAAGAGTGATGGTTATGCAGCTGCTTTGCAGGCAGCAGGGAGTGGGAACTACTCTGCTTGCTTCGGTGCAGCACTTCCGACCTGACTTCTTTGCACTTCTGGGGCAAGTTCCACTGCTCTAAAAGAACTGTTCTGTCTTAACTTTGTCTTAATTGGCACACTGCAAATAGAGTATAAACAAGTGGAAATTCTTACATCATCAATCTGGAGATGCCACTGACCCTTCAAAGCTGTTAAACCCGCAGCAACCAGGGGGAATATGGGCCAAAACTATCAGGGAAGATCTTACTGTTCTCATGAAACTCAACCAGTTCCCCTTTGGTAATTTTAGAGAAACTTTTGTGGTTGACAGGGTGATGTGATGTTAAAACAAGAATGTAAGCTGGGGCAGGGAGTATTTTCAACTTTGGTATGTAATGAAATTCATCTCAATAACTTAAAATGTTCTTCAGTAATTAGCTGGTTTAACAATTGGGAAAGAACCTGGCAATTGCAGGCTTACAAATATTGCTAAAATGAAGAGTGTGCCTGTATCAGACTGTAAATAACTTCCACCACTGAAATTAATTTTTCCTTTGAATTTTGTACCCTTGCCTTTCTAAATCTAGTGCTTTAAAAAAAGGCCAGAGAAATCCTACAACTAATTTATGTAGAAATAAATGATGACAGCAGCTGTCTTGTTGAATTTTTTTCTAAGTAATTTATAGTAGTATGATTAGAGGTAAACTTTACGTGTTTAATAATGCAGGTTTGTGCAGACTACTTAATATCTGGTTATTTGCATATGAAAATCTTACTTTTTTTCATGAGATGCTCATACTTTTTTTGATTAAATACTGAAGTCTAGATTTTTTTTCAAAAAAGGCTCAGACATGCCTTTTTTTTTTTTTTTAAGGAAATATTCCTTTTAGACACTGGGGCTTTTACACCAGAAAAAAGGCAAAGCAGGGCAACGTAGTATTTTCTACTAAAGTAGCTAATTTAGTTAAAAAAACCACAACTCAAATAACTCATGCCGAGCTGTTCCATTAAGTTTGTTCTTAGTATGCTGTGGTAACAAAAATATGGGTGGAAAGGCTTTTTTTTTTTACATAAGTGTAGATCTTTGTGCATAGTTTTATACTGTTTTTAGAACTTCAGACAATTTATTTTAGCCTTTCAAGTTTTTTTTTTTTATAAATAATGTTTCTTGTATCATTTGAAAACACTTTGCAAGAATGCAACTAGGCATATCTGGGAATGCAGTAGTAGTGGTTATAAAATTTTGTTTTTTTTCAGGAGTTTATAACTTGGCTTAAAAAACTGCAACTTTTTTCCCCTAATTTTTTTAAAAAGATCAGCTTGGTGTTTTAATGACAGTATGTGGGTTTTTTTAAAAACATTTCTTTACCAGAATACATTTTTTTTTTCCATACCTAAACAGTTGGCTAGGAAATAAAGCAGCACACTTTGTCTAACTGTAATTGAGGAAGAGAATGCCAAGTATTGGGTGTTTTTCTGCTAAGATGTTTTTAAACGTTTTGCAGATACCTGAGATTTTTGTAGCAGTACCACATGATTTGTGGAGGGAAATTCTCTTTATGACTTCTAAAATCTTCTGCACTGAAAACCTCCCTGCCCCCCTGTACATATAAATATGCTTTATTTTCTGTGTTCACTGATTGCATTTCACAGGGGGTTTGCTTTGTTCATTATGGTGTCCTGTAGGTGTTATGAGGAGGTTGAGGGTTTTTTAGTATAGTATTGCCAACCTGAACAAAGCCCTGAGCAGCCTGGTAAGATGTCATGGCTGGTCCTGTTTTAAGCAGGAGGTTTTGAGAGACCTCCATAAGTCCTTTCCAGAGGAGTTATTTTGTGATCCTACAGTGAGAATGTTCCTGTAACCCCATATCTGATTTAGTGTTTACCTAGTCTTTATAAAGGGAATTTTACTGGGTCTGACCAAAGCTTCATCTGGCTTAGTATCCTTTCTTCTACAGTGGCTGAAAGTGAATGTTCAGGGAATATGTAAGAAAAGGCCAAGCATGGCATTCCCCAGTACATTTTTTTGTTTGTTTCTAATTATTTGCCATGCCTTCTTATTTCTAGTGGCAATTTCTGTGCTTTTTATCTCTTGGGTCTTAATGTTTTCCCTTTTATTTTGTAGAGGAAGATCTGCTGTGGTTAGAAAATGTATAGCTAAATCCACAGGCCAAGAGTATGCAGCTAAATTTTTAAAGAAGAGAAGAAGAGGCCAAGACTGCAAAGCAGAAATTCATCATGAAATTGCTGTACTTGAATTAATGAAATCTAATCCTCGCATAGTTAATCTTCATGAAGTCTATGAAACAGCAAATGAAATCATCTTGGTGTTGGAATAGTAAGTATGCCTTCATCAGATGTTCCACATTTGTAGTTAAAAATCTTTCAGTATACTAATTTTTTGCATGAGCTGCCTGAATGCCCCAGAATTACAACAGTGCACTGTATATATTATGCTAATATTTCATTAGGATATACTTTCTAAGCATCTTTATATTTTTTGCTTTAAGAGTGTTTCGGGCAAGTTGACTGGAGATAATGTTCTTGAATCCCATCAAAAGTCCAAAGTGCTTTGATACATCTTAAATGATAAAAAAAAAAATAGAATAGCCCAGTACTGATACCAAGTACACAGACTTCAAAGAAGCTGAGCACGTCTATGCTCTGTGAACTTCAGTTAGCACTTGATGCTTTTTGGTGACTGGAGACTTGTAGTTGCTTTGTGGATTCTGAGCTTCTAAATTTAGTAGTTTTGTTGTTTTGAAACTGTTTGGCTTTTGGAGCTGTTTTGTAAAAAATTCCCATATTTGTTTCAGATGTCCCTGAAGCTTCTCATTAGATCTGAAAAAAAAAAAAAAGTCTAATTTTGGAATTGAATTTGAATTATCTCTCATGTTTGCTGTACATTTTAGTTTAGAATGTAGGAAACAAAAAGGCAGATTTGGAAGTTAGATCTCTCTAGGCTTTAATTTTCATGTACAAAGTATTTGAAGTGCTGTTAATGGTGGTCTGCATACACCATGATAAATCCCTTCAAATTTTCCAAAGAATGTAGCTAGATTCTATCTTTAAAAGCTTTTTTTCCTGGAACTAGATGATCCCTAACATATTATTTGTTGTTCTGTGAAGGTTAAAATAATAAATAATGTAGAAGTCAAGATGAAGTCCAGATGGCAAGTTTTGAACTTCTGAAAGTGCAAGTTCACATAAAAGCCGTACTGATTTTCCTGCTTCTGTTTCAGCTAAGCTAACCCTCTCTTGCTTATTAAAGCTCTGTAATGAAACATCTTCCTTATGCTACATTGGTGTTCATGGTGTAACTTCCTTGTGGTGTTCTGAAGTCTGGCAGTAAAGTGTTCCTACTTTTGTGGGGATTACACACTTAAATTATATCCTCCTGTAGCAGAATAAACAGCTTTTCGTGTTCATTTCTGTTTATCAGAACTCTGAAGCAGTACTTGAAAAGAATTGCAAGAAATGAGTTTATAAAATAGTTTATAAGCATTTCATCTTCGGCTGTATTTTCCCCCCCTGCACATGTTCCTTGCTCTTGTTATGTGTTGTTGGGGTTTGGAAGATGTAGGAGTAAGAGTCAGTTTGTGTTAGTGCACATTTTCTAAATAAAGGTGAAATGGATGCTAGTTCTTAGTAAGGCCATCTTTGTAGGGGGAATCACTAAAGATATGAATACTTCTTCAAAAGCCCCACCATGGAGGTTGCTCCTCTTCTAATGTGAGGGCCAAAGGAAGAATCCAGTTACTCAGAGAGAAACCTGGCAGCTCTACTAGCTCTTTGTGCAGCTGTAATAATTTCCAGGTCTATCTAGTTTGTGCACTGAAAGAACTAAGAAAGGCTCTGCAGAGTGAGATCAGAGCTCTGTCTCACCTGCCATTTCCAGCAGTGGCTGTAGGAAGGTGCTCTTTAGGAAGAGCTAAGGAGCATATAACTGCCCACTTTTTGCTCTTCACTCTCTTTGCACTGTTGCAGCAAACAGAGGTATTGTACTGAGAATACCTTTCTGCTTATTCCTTTTAGTTTATGGACCTGTCCGAGTCTTTGAATGCGTTTTGTCCTTTTTTTGTACCTGGTGATACTGTCTACTTTGGTGGTAATAAATTCCAGGTGCTCATTATCTTCTGTGTGAAGAAATATTTTCTTTTATCTTTTTCAAACTAATCAGCTAGTTTCATCAGATGCCTCCTAGTTCTTATATTGTAGGATCTGGTGAATAATAGTTTTTGTTTGTCTCTAAACCAGCTTTAGTGTTTTTGTAAGCATCACTTGTACACTTCTCCACAATCTTCTATCCAAACTGAAGAGTAAGTGTCTCTTTGGTTGGTTTTTTTTTGTTGTTGTTGTAAAGCAACTGTCTGTCCTCTGACTTGCCTTTCTTTGTATCTTCATTAATCCTACATAAATGAAGATACAGAAGCAGAACTACATGCTAAGGTTTTATACTGAGCATTGTTTTGTTGCTTGTTCTCAGTAGCCCCCCGATGATAGCCAGGTATGTTTTAACTGCTCTGCACATTGGTCCTGTTATTTCTTAACGATTTTCAGTCAAAATTTTCTGAGCTATCCCTGCTAGTTCAGTGTATTATTGTGTGGGGTTCCATTAGGTTATTTATCTATATGCACCACAGGGCATCTGATGCTCTTTTACTCGCTTTCTCTGTTGGTGCTGAACTTGCTTGTTCATGTCTTCCTTGACCTGGGAAGCCCAAACCAGGATGCTGCATTCCAGCAGTGGTCTGGTGTGCTGGGTAGTGTCACTTGCCTCAGTCTGCTGGTTGTGCTCCTGCTATTACAGCCCAAGGTGCTGCTGACCTTTCCTGCACTTCAACTCTTGCTGTCTCTGAGGACTCACAAATCTTTCCTGCAGAGCTTTCAGCTCTTTACCCATCTGAGTGTCCACCCATCCAGACCATAATGCAACTTGGATACAATAATACTGTGGGAGACAGTGTCAAAACCTTGTTAAAGTTGGAGTAAATGACATCTACATCTTTTCCCTCATCTACATTTTGTCATAAAGCCAGCTAGAGGAGACATGGGCACCTCACAGAGCAGGTTTATGACTGTGCTTATTTGTGTTATATAGATTCTGTCATTTTGTTAGCATTGAAGATTAGGCTTACTGATCTGTAGTTCTGAGGTAGCTCTTTATTCTTAAGGGAGAGAAACTTCAGGCAGTTTGAGCAGGCTGAGTAATGATTTCAAACCCAGCCTGAAAGGAAACAGCTGATGCTGTGGCCAAGGGTAGAAGTGTAACTAATAAACCACGTGCAACATGGTTATTTCCATGCTGCTTTACACTGTACTAATAGGGTTTTCTGGAAGCCTTTTTTGAGGAAGATGAACTTGAGATGCTCTGTAAAACACCTTCTCAATCTTATTTTTGAAATCTGCCATTTTTACACTAAAAGTGACAGAACTGAGTCCTTGTATTTCTCAATATTCTGTGTCTACTAGAGTTCTGGAAGGGACTGTTCAATAACTGACTAGGCAACTGTATATTTAATCAGCAGTAGCATGCTAGATTTTCTTCCTGGTACCTTTCTGAGTCTTCCATCAGAATGGCAGGAGGCAAGTATGCAGTTTCCTCACTCCAGAAATATTCCTTAGCAGTCTAGCTGTTATTAAGTTGTTGTTATTACATTTACACCACAGCCACATCATGTAAAAAATAATGATATTTGCTCCTGAAATCTGAGAATAGGAATACTGCTGGGCTTTCTTGCTTTGAATTGTTTATGAACTGGTCTAATGGAAGAAATTTATATTTGACTTGAAAAGAGAGGCTTCTTTGGTTAAGGAATGATTACAGAACTCATCTTCTTGAAGGCATCTTCACACCTGCTTGTAGGAAAGAACGCTTGAGGGTACCGGAGTATTATGACATTTTCAACCAAAGTTCTGTTTTGCTGTCTCAACTGCTTTTGCTGACTACTAGGAAAGAAAAAGCATCATCAGATTTTTTTTTTCCTTTTCTATGTGCTTATATTTTGTGTTTTGGCATAAATATGTAAAAAAAAAGTAATAATAATATTTCCAGCCTCTCTGAGATTATAAATATACATTAGATAAATATATATTGCAATATATAGCATTTTTCCTCACTTAAGATTCAAAATTTAAACTTAACACATAAGTGTTCTTGAATGTGTTTCAGTGCTGCTGGAGGAGAAATGTTTGACTTGTGTGTCCCAGATCTGGATTACAGAATTGGTGAAAGGGATATTGTAAGACTTATAAGACAAATACTTGAAGGACTTTGCTGCTTGCATGAAAACAATATTGTTCATCTTGATTTAAAGGTAAAACTTTTTATTTTAGTACTTTAATTTATTATTACATTCAAGTAATTTGTTAAATACATAACAAAGATGAAGAGAAAAAGGAGTGTGTTAGAGATTAAATATTTTTAAATAAAATTTAGCAATAAGCATTGCATAATAGAACCTGCAGTGTCATTTTGGACATTGGGCTTTTTTGCAGGTTGCATTTGATTGAGATCTAAATCTTTTCTATTCTAGCCTCAGAATATTTTGCTGAGCAGTGTCAATCCTCTTGGTGATGTAAAAATTGTAGATTTTGGTATTTCCCGGAAGCTTGAGAATTCCAGTGAACTGCGGCACATCATGGGAACAACAGAGTATCTGGGTATGGAAGAGCTGCTTCACAATGTCTGATTTGTGCTTTGGAGAAAACAAACAGTTCATGTAATATGCTTATGAACTTACCAGTCATTACTGGAGAAACAACATTATAGGACAAAGCAACGTGTTTTGAGCTGTTCTTTTTTTAGAGTGGTCAATGAATATTTGCACCACAAATTCCCAAATTATGTCAGTAAGTGCAGCTCTCAATTCCTGCCGTAGCACTTGCTGTGATGCCAGCTGTTAACAAAAAGTTTTGGCTGTTAAATTCTTTTGATTAGAATTGAAATACAGCATTAGCATGCACAAAGAAGTGTTCTTTGAGTTGGGAATGTTGTTTAGTGTGATGGTTTAATGAGATTCAAATATTCCTTGGAAAGGGGAAGATTGCCATTAGCACTTGGCCCTCTGTGAGGCACAGGTTTCCTTCATGATTTGCCAACACTCAATTTTAAGAGCACTTCATACTACAGTGAATAACTTACTATCTAGCATAGGCTAATGGCCACTGATCCTAAAATTGGCTTGGTCATCTGCTTTTGCAGTGTTAACACACTGAAGGCTTTATGCATTCCCCTAAAAAAGCTATATACTTCAAAACCTCTTAGAAGAATGTTTTATGTGGATACTTCTGATTAGAAAACATCTTGAGATTTGGCTAGGAATAGACTCTTTAGGCCATGTAGTGCTGTTTAAGTGTGACTCAATTAAACATCTGTGTGTCTAGTCAAACAGAAATAACTTTTTCACGCTCCTGTGGCTTGAAAATAATAAACTTAACTATTGAAACTGCATGTTTAGTCTCATAATAATGGTTGGCAAAAAAATGCCAGGAATGTAGTGTATGATTCAAGGCCGTTTGAGTAATATATTTATTAAAGCATTTTTCTTCTCTCCATCTGTTTAGCTCCAGAAATCCTAAACTATGATCCTATTACCACAGCTACAGACATGTGGTAGGTTGTATATCTTAATTCATTTTATTGAGGTGGGGGGGCCACTTAACAACTTAGGGACCGGATCTGGACACTGATGCAGTTTTTTTCCTGGCTTCCAAGAATACTCTGCTGCTGGACTGACTAAAAGAGGGAGAGATAGGAGGATATAACTCAGAGCTTACAAGGAATTACTGTAAATGGGTCTGTTGCACACTTAGAAGGGAATGCCAGTGGCTTCTGAGCCTGGAGTATAGGTATTTGTTCTAAGGGAACAATAACAGTGGTTGGATAGCATACTTTAGGTATTAGTTACTCTGGGATGACAAGCTTCAGGTATGAGCTTCTCTTGGACACTCTCTTTCCTCCCCACTTTTGTTAAATAATTTTATTACACAAATGATAAAAAGTATTTAAGTTTCTACTTTTTATCTTTAGAGAAATACTTGCAGAATGAGTCATAAAAAATGAGACAAATACCTTAAAGTGATCCACAGCTTTATTTGTGGCTTACTAATTTTATGAACTATGTTAGTTTAAAGACTGGCTTTGAAATGTTTCCTTAGAAACATAAAATATTCATATGCTCTTCTTGAGCATCTTAATAATTAAAATTCAGTTTTAAAAGTTGCTGTGATCTAATTGCTCCTTTGAAATCCTCAACTCATAATAGTAACTAAATCTGTTCATGAATGTTTTTTTAACTACTTAATATTTGCGTGCTTTTGTGGGAAGACATAAAAACAAATTGTTGGTGCTCTACTCAGAATGACAAACACAGCAGCAGCTGCAGTTTCTACAGTGTAATGGGTGCTAAGACCTGATCTGTCTGATCACAAAAACATTTTTATTATGCATCAGGAAACCATCTAAGATTTATAATAGATTGCGTGATGTGTCATGTTCTTAGGGAAAAACATCTGAGCAAGAGGATATTGTAGCCCAGCTCGGATGTGGAATGTGCAGAAAGGTTGACTAAATCTCAGTCTTTGATAATTCATCCAGAATTGTAGTGAAAGCTGGGGTTTTATTTACGTGCAGATAAGAAAGTCTGTTTTTCCGCTGTTCTGTCCTCCGGAATCGCTGTATGTCCAAGAGAGGGCTGTGTAAAAGTGATGCATTTGCTTTCCTAACAATCTGAGTGGAAAGAAAAGGGTGTATTGAAAGTAAGAAATTTTCAAAAATGCCTCCACTGAGATGCTTTCCTTGTGTGTGTTTGTGCATACCTGCTTGAATCACATAAAACTGAGATGTCACATGATGCTTTTACTTCTCTAAGTGTGGGATACATCAGGAAGTTTGATCTGCAGCACAGTAAATATGCGGGATACATTGTTCAGATGTTCATGTAGGATTATACATTGTGTTCTTATCTCAGGAACATTGGTGTCATTTCATACATGCTGCTGACACAAGAATCTCCATTCGTGGGAGCTGATATTCAAGAAACTTACCTTAATATATCTCAAGTTAATGTGGATTATTCAGAAGAAACATTTGCATCAGTTTCACAGCCTGCCAAAGACTTCATTCAAAAACTTCTCATAAAAAATCCAGAGTAAGTAACAAACTCCTCCAGGCAACAGTCTTAAATTTGTGGAGCACCTAGAGAAAGTGAATGTTAATTTATATACCTAATACCATGATTCCTTGAAATCCTAATGGCTGAATATTCACTAGCATTTATTATGACCCTATTTACAATGGTCAGTATAAAGCATAGGACTTCAAAAGCATAAGCATGTGCACATTTATATATACCATGTTGAAAACATTCCAAGGGAACTATGTCCTTGTTCTGATGAAAAGCTTACCAGCTTTGGGGGAAACTGTCAGCTGCATTTAGATGTGTGTTGCCACTGCTTAACCTTAACTATGTGTTTTGTAGCAGCTGAGGTAGTGCTGAAAAAACAGTGATACTGATGCTTTAGTGTCAGTTTTGCTGAAGATTTCTTAACGTGCGTCAGAGTTATTTTAATTAAGTTTTTAGTATTTCTGAAATTCACTAAAGCAACTTTTTCCTTTTCTTTTTCAAAGGGAAAGACCCACAGCAGCGGACTGTCTTTCTCATTTGTGGTTGCAGCAAGGGGAGTTCACGCTCTTGTGCGGCCCTGAAGAAACCTGTTGCTCTTCTCAGATGTCAGGACACGCAACAAAATGCTCAGAGGAGCGGAATGTGAAATCCAGTTGTAATGGTACCTGTAGCGACAAGGAAGACAAAGAAAACATCCCAGAGGACAGCAGCACAGTCTCCAAACGTTTCCGTTTCGATGATTCATTGCAGTATCCCCAAGACTTCACGACAGACTTCTTATGTTAATGTGTAATGCAGACTTTTATAAAATGAATTCAGCATAATCTATTCCAGTGGTGAAAATAAGATTATGGCTTGCCAATTCATGTAGCATTGGCGTACTGGAAATGCACTTTGATTCTTTTATGCTGATGCCTCCTTTTCTATCCATTGCTGGCAGTGGATTTAACTCCTGAGAAATTGGAGTTGTTGCGCCAATAAAATGAATTATTTTTTTTTAAGAAGATATAAATAAATATTTTTGCACTTTTCGATTTCTAGTCAAAAAATGACGCTAGAGTGAACTAACTGAAACCTGAAAATGAGTTTGTTTAAACTCAACCTTTGCCAAACCGTGGTTGAATACATGCATGCTTTTATGACTTGCCTTAATAAGAAATTGGTCTGAGCAGGGAAACTGAATCTAGCTGTCTTACTGAACTTACTTGTGACCCTTCTCATCACTTTAAGTAGAGGCTAAAGTTGGTATGTTTTGGGACTGATAAATCTGTTGGGGTTGCTTGGAAAACTGTTTTCCCTCTGGTACAACTGGTAGTTATGGAAATGTTATATGGAAATGTTATAGACCTGGTCCTCTTAGGGGTTGTAATGCACACTCTGTGGTTTTGCTGTGTTGGATCTCTGCAGATCTTGAATAGAAAACGGGTAGACTGTCAGTCCTTGTGCTAGTGGACCTTGGCTTCTTACCAGTAAATTGTTTGAAGAAGATGAGGTTCCTATGCTGATGTGAATATTTGATGAACTTACTAGTTTGCTGTTATAAAACCTCTGAAATATTATCATCTACCTGTATTGACCTTTTCCTTATCTTAAAAAAAACAACCAGAACACCACAAAACATCACAAAACACCCCCCTCCAAAAGAACAACCAAATACACACAAAGGAATCCAAAAACAGAAAGCCTCTTTATAGTTATAAGTAGTAACTGAATAAATTGAAAATAGCCATTTTTGCCAGTGAAGCTGGAATTAACAACTTTTCTTTATGTCCCTGTAATGTAAAAGTGCAGTGCATCTTTGTCAATTATTGTTACCCCTAATGACTCAGCTTCATGCCTACTCTGAGAAATGGACTGCAGTGTGTTAGTATTTAAAGACAAACTACCTGATAATTGTTTTAATTTGGTTTGCTCAGTGGTATTTTTTTTAAGTTATGTCCCTTCCAATTCCTGTTTCCAGGCTCTTAGGAAATGCCTATGTAGCGAGTCTTGACTTAGAGCAATTGCCAGTGGTGTCTTAAACAGCCTGAAACTAATACTGACAAAATAAATGCCTAATAGTAACAGAGGCTGGAAGTCTTTTTGTGCAGGGAATGTATTAAAACTCTTACAGATATTTTGAAAATAAGTGTCACTTTAAAATATTTTTGGGATTTTCCACTCCTGAGAGCTTAAGTTTAATTGTCTTTGATTTGGATTTGTTTTGTATAATAAAATACCACGATCTGATAATATTTTTCAAGTGTGCCTGTGCATTTGTCAATAGTTAGGCAGATTGGTGTCTTGGAAAAATATATGATTGAGAGGTGAACATAATGGTTGGTAGAAGGTTGTATTTTATCATCCTTCACACGAGGAAAGAATAGGTTTTTTGCAAATAGATTCAATATGAGGTATCACCATAGTATATGGTGGAATTTGGGACTGTTCTCTTGATTTGGGTGACACTCATGTCAACAAGTGAAAAGCAGACTGAAGTGTGAGGCAGGTGAGACTATCTTTCAGATTATGTTTACCAGAAGAAGTAAAAGTTTTCCAAGACTTAATTTCATGTGAAATAAAGTAACAGTATATTGAGCACGTACAAAGCTCCCATGCCAAGGTTTAAATGAACCACACTCAGTCTCCTCCATGTATTAGTTCTCATGTAACTTTTTTCAGTGGTACTGAGAGTGTATAGGATTATAAAATTCCTTTGCAGGAGGTGGTTGTTGGATTGCATTCAGGTACTTTATACTCTTAGTTTTCAAAGTCCTTGACTTTTCTCAGTTGGAGTCTTATTTAACTTTTTTGGTTTTTTTTCCACCAGCATGGATTCCAGTTTGAACTGGATAAATTAAAACCACAAACTATTACATATTTACACAGAAGTTAAAGTTCACTTAGGGTAAAGAAGACAATGTCAAAAATCTGTAAAGGTAAAAAAAAATGTTTATAAAAGTTACACTTTCAAATTCTGCAAAAATATTACTGAATTGAAATTACAACTATTTTCATCTGAAAAATCTGAAAGCATATGCCAGCACTTTATGACATAGTTTTTATTACTAAAGATTTTTATCACAGTATCTGATGTTTACATTTCTTACTACTTTAGAGCTAACTTATCTTTAAAGAAATGAAAATTGATCTTTTCCAAGGAATTTTAAGTTTTGAAGACTTTATTTGTACTTTATATAAACTTAAAATATACCTTGAATCAGACTAACTTTGGATAAGTGCATTTGATTATTTAAAAATACTATTGTGCCTTCGTAACCTCAGTTGAATGTAAATACATATATTGCAGGCAACTGTTAGACTGTCTTGCTTCTGCCATATTACTTGGAATTTCCGTGTTAATGAGGGATGAGTAACATTTTCAGATGACTGAAGTCATACTTCTATGCAGTTCATGACCTTTTTATATTAAAAAAAAAATAAAAAATAAACTTTGCCTTTTTTTTTTTCTCCAAACTTCTGTGTTATCATTCCTTCACAGAATCAGAGAATGGTTGAGGTTGGAAGGGCCTCTGGAAGTCATGTTGCCCAACCCCAACCTGCTCAAGCCATGCCATCTAGGCCTCGTTGGCCAGAATGATGTCCAGATGGCTTTTGCTCTCTGAGACTCCATCTCAGTGCTCAGTCATTCTCACAGTAAAAATATGTTCTTGTGTTCAAATGGAGCCTCCTGGGTTTTAGTTTGTGCCCGTTCCCTCTTGTCCTGGCCCTGGGCATCACTGACAAGAGCCTGCTGGTGATATTTTGCCCCGTGCAGCCCATGCCCTTGCCTGCTTTGTGCAACAGCGCTGGCTCCCGTTCAACTCAGTGTCCACCAGGTCCTTTTCCCAAAGGTGTTTTCCAGCTGCATGGAGCATGTGTCAGTGTGTGGGATTGGTCCTGCACAGGTGGAGAGCTTTGGGCTGTGCTGAACTCCATGAGGTTCCTGTCAGCCCATTTCTCCAGCCTGCAGAGGTCCCTACGGATGGCATCATGACCCTCAGGTACATCAGCCACTCCTCCTGGTTTTGTGTCCCCAGCAGCCTTGCTGGGGGTGTGCTCTGCCCATCAGCATTAATGAGGATGTTAAACAGGACTGCCTGTGAGGATTTGGGGGACAATGTCAGAGGCCTTGCTGAGGTCTAGGTGGGCAATGTCTGCTGCTCTCCCCTCAGTTACTGACCAGTCGTTTCACTGCAGAAGTTTATCAGGTTGCTCATTGTGACTTCCCCTTGCTGAATCCGTGCTGACTAACTGATGACTAATGAACTTGGCAGCTAGCTTCTTGGAATTGTTTTATATGTGTCTGGGTTTTATACATAAAAAGTTGATGTTCCTGTATGTAATGGTCTAGTTATATCTTGCAGTATTTATTGAGGTGATACCTTTTATGTTAAATTCTAATAGCCTTGCTGAATGACCATGTGAGGAAACTTAAATTGAATGTTTGTTACACATATTAACCTCCTAGGGCAGTAATGGTACATTTGTTTCATTGTCAAGTAGACGGCTGAAACAAAAACAAACAACCAAACAAAACCAACAAGTTGCCTTTAGAAAGGGAATTACACTCAAAGGTGGTAACCCCTTGTTGCCTGGTTAATGCGTTTCCTCCAAAGGCACATTTAATTGACAAAGCTTTCTCATTGTTTGAAATGCACAAATGGGCTTTCTTTTTAGTGAAAGAAACAGTGTATTCATGTGCTTGGTTTGGTGTTGCAGCATTAAATTCAGAAATTATCTCAATATTTGTGTTTCCTGTACTGTAGGTTCTTATCAGGAAAGCTGCCTATTTTTTCTTTAATTTTTTTAGCACCTCAAGAAAACAAATTTTCTGTTTAATGGTGATTTGAGACAATGTGAAATTTCTGTCTTTTCAGAAGTCCTTCTAAGGAAAAAGACTTGTTAGAAAAATGCATTATAATGGCTTTAAACTGGAAGAGAGTAGGCTTATATTAGATGTTAGGAAGAAATTCTTGACAATGAGGGTGGTGAGGTACTAGAACAGGTTAAAGGGGAGTTGTGAATGCCTGAAAGTGTCCAAAGCTGGGTTGGATGGGGCTTTGAACAACCTGCTCTAGTGGAAGATGTCCCTGCCTGTGGCAGGGGGTTGGGAAATATATGATCTTTAAGGTCCCTTGCAGCCCAAACCATTCTATGATTCCATGTTAATAACTGACCATCTTCTTACCAGGACAGCTGTGCTTCTACTCTTGCCAAGTAAGGGAAGTTCAGCTTGAAAAAATATTTTGTAAAACTGGGGCAAGATACAAGGGTACAATTACTGTGTGTTTGTTTCAGAAACCACTCATCCTGCGCATTAAGAACCTGGCAGCTGACAGAATTGAAAATACTGCTTGGCCCACTCAGCATTGGAGAAGTGAGCAAGACACAGAATGAGTCAGTGAGTAGATCGTCTACCAAATTAATAGTAACATTACAAAGCTGAATTGCCAAGTCATACCAGCGTATGAGAGTATAAGGAAATTTTTTAATAATTAAAAGCAGGTACATGGATTAGGACATAAAAAACCCCAGCGTAATGAATAAACAGCAACACAGATGTTATTAGTTCTCTGTAAGAAGAAAGTTGTTTTCTGATAATGAAAAATACTGTATTTACAAGGATTTTTTTTTTATAATGTTCCTAATATTAGCAATCTGTGTCTTTCCTCCTCTGAAGAGTACAGGCAGGTGTGCTGTTTCCAGTTTCCTAATAAACCCTAAAATGTCACATTCTAGCAAAAGGAATCACAATGCCCGGCAGTGGATGGCAATGCATGCTGAATGTGCCACTGCTTTCTGTAGGTATAGTTTCTAATAGTTGAAATAGTAAGGAGTTCTGTTTGCATGGTCTCCAGCTGGACTGTTACAGCCAGTACAGTGTAGACCTTGTTTGAATCTCCCTATGATATGTTGAGTATGAGGGTATTTCTCATTTCAAAATCAAAACCAGACTCTGGTACTGGCTTGAATTTAGAAAATGCACTGGGAATTCCGAGTGATGTTGAGCCTTCTGCAGCTGGACAAAGCAGAAATACCCTACTGGTTCTTTGCTTGTGGTATTTTAACGGAAGGGCTTTTATGTTTAAAACTTGCTATCTAAACACTTTAAATGTTCTGTGTGCAGTTCACAAGATTGATTACAGGCCTGAACTGGAGGTCATTTATAGGGATTTTCCAACAGGGTAACTGTAACATGTAGTGCTACGTTTTATGTGTTGCTGTGAAAACATAATAAAACCTCTCAAAATTCACGAACTAGCCAACATGGCAACAGCTCTTTCAGATGCCTTTGAAATCCCAAACTGAGCACAGCAGAGTGTTAGAAATCATGCAAACCATGCCAGTTATTTAGATTGGTCAAACCATTTGATTCATGATTGAGGGAACATGCATTGACTACCAGTGGAACTGAAGGAGATTTTTACTTATATTTTCTTGTATTCTGTGATTTGGGGGGGGTGGGGGGTAGGTTGTTTAAATCCCAGGGCGTTGTGCACAAGATGGGCTGATGCCATGATGTGGCAACTGAAACATCTTTGGTTGCTGTTGGAGTTTAGACACCCCAGCCCAGCGTTTTAGCTTACTAAGAATGATTTTGCAAGCACAGCTGAGTTCTTTGCCATGTTTTGATAGGGTACCTGTCCCACTGCTTTGCTAAAGACAAGCACCTGAATTCAGCTTCTGACTGAAGGATGGGTTTTATCCCAGGGAGCCAATTGCTGGCGCTGCATAAGCGGGGCGGGCTGGGCAGTGGTGTGGGCAGAGGGGAGGCTGTGGGGCCCTGTCCCGCTGAGGTGCAGGAGGGCTGTGACTGGCACCCCCCTGAAAGATCAAGCTGCGGTGTCTGTGCCATGAACTCCACAAATCAGGTTTTTAGAAGCGACATAGTCCTCCTTGGAGCTGCCCAGATCTCCTTTAATAAATTTGGCGGTGCAAATTTAAGCGGACGTTTTTGGTTTGGGCTGCTGTTCCTGTTCTGTTTTCGGAGACAATAACACTCTCTTACAGGCACCCCTTTAGAAACCACAAAAATTGTTTAACTTGGTACAAACTACAAAATGTTACGTCATTGTCCTGGTTTCGGCTGGAATAGAGTTTATTTTCTTCTCAGTAGCTGGCATAATGGACTCTGTATGACAATAACAT